GTTGGCATGGGTTCTGAGCCTGTGAATTCAATAAATTATATTGAATTCAACCCCCCCCCAATAAATTAATCACTCAACTATAGTCCACCTGTTATGACCAGTGTGACCTTGGACAAGTTATTTAAATGCTTTAGGCCTTAGGTTCTTCATGTGTAAGGAGAGGGGGCTGGACTAGATGTCCTCAGAAGTCCTTTCCAGTTCTAAATCTTTGATCTTATGCATTGAGCCTCAGGCAGATGCCTATCACAGAAAGGGAATGTGGGGAGTTAGAGGGAGATGGGGTGGCAAAGAAATAGGAGGCACAGACATTGACCCCAAGGAGCTTGTTGTCTAGCTGGCGAGATGAAGCCTAAACTTGAAACGAAACAGAGAACAAGACAAAATACAATTGTGTGAGAGATAAATACAAAAGAAGTTCAGAGATAGACAATCATCTCATTGTGAACTAGACAGGTTAAGGGAAGGCTCCATGTCAGAAGCAGGATGGGAATTTGGGACTTAAAGATGGCTGATGCTATGAAGAAACATGAAGGGAAAGCTGGGGCAGTCTAGACAAAGGGAAGAACTAGAATTATAGCATGGAATTCTACTCAGATCAGTGAGCAATTAGGTTAGATATGAAATCTAAATTTTAAGTTTTAAATCAATTAGATTTCCAGTGTCTGAACTTCTTTTGCAAATGCCCCTAGCACCCAGTTATATATTGTCTCATTTTCTATGTGACAGGCACTGTCCTAGGGATACACATAAAAATTAGATGTTTCCTGTCCTCAAGCATCTCATATTCTGTTCAGGAGAAACAATGAATGCACAGATAAGTAAACACATAATATATAACAGTTAATCAACAAACATGTATATACCTACTACATAGCAGACACTGTGCTCTTGGGATACAAATAAAAAGTGAGACAGTCTTGACCTAGAGTTGTTTACATTCTACTGGGGACCTTTTATATGTTCATAATGAGGAATAAGAGCCTTGGGAGGATTGGGAAAGGCCTTTTGAGTGGGAGGGGCCCCATGAACTGAGCCTTGCAAGGAGTCAACAGTAAGCATGCCATGGGTAGAAGGACCTGAAAAATTGTGGGCAAGGGGAACATAATGGAAAGGAAAGTGAGGTTTAGGGAAAATATGAAAGACAGAGAAGTTGTTTACTTAACCTGATCTAAATTCAGAATCACATTAAACTGTAATTCATGGGAGAACTTGGCTTTTCGTGGTGTAGGTGAGATACCTTTTGAATTGTTGTTTGAAAGAGACTGGCATAGAAGATTTGGCTTATAATGATTTTATCTTAACAAAGAATATAATCAAAAGAAAAGCGGAATCAGTGAGTTTCAAAGGGTCGATACATTTGATTTATGTTGGATGATTTCCAATGTATTTTTTTTCATTAAAAAAATAAAGTGCCATTTCTGAGAACTAGAGTAAAACAAACCGCATGTTACATTTTGGTTTCTTTGAACCTCGATTACACTGAAGTAATATGAAAAACAAACAGTTTTGCAGCACTGTTAATTTCAGAGGCAGAAAACATAAGCTCCCAAAGGTCTTCTCCCCAGCCACTTTATGATCCTCTTGTTAGATGGCTAGATTAAAGATCTAGACCTCAATTTACAAGTGTGGATTGACATTTCATACCTGGCTTTGACCCAGGAGCTGATCTCATTTTATCCACAAACATCAAAAATCAACTGCACCAGAATTGGAGCAGACTTAATTTAATTTGCGACATTAGCTAAGCCCAAATTTACTCCACAAAATAGCCGTGGCTTTTGTAATTACATCTATGATATGTGGTGACTTTCTAAGGAAATTAGCTTCATCCTACACATTTTAGAAAATGCTTTTGGTTGGTCTTAGAGGTCTGACTCACTGCATATTTAAATATGTGGCAGTTTCCTTTGGGGGTGCCCTCCTTCTGACACTCTGACCAGGAAATACTTAAAACATTTTCTCCAGAATATCTTTGGCCAGGTTCACTTGTCAAATGGCATCTTGCTTGAATGGGAAGATATGAAATAAAGCAGTGAGCCGGTATTTAAAAATTACTGCTCACTGACTATAGCAGCTGTTGTTCCAATCAAAAACTGCTAGAAAATCCTTTAGAATTAGTTATACTGAATTTGTAACAGTCTGCTGCCTAAAGCTGCTAGTATCCTCCAGGGGAGGAGTAAGCCCAACAGAGAGGGAAATGATTAAAGTTGCAATATCTCCTCCCAATCCCCCAACCCCTGCCTTTTAAATGAAAATAAAATGCACCACCTTCCTTCTGGACCCAATCTAAAGGTTCAGACTTTGGAGGGTGGGGAAATCAAATTCTGGAACTTGGAAATGGAAAAAAAAAGGATACAAATACTTGAGGATACGTAAAGGTAACAAATGGCTTGGACTATTTTGGTAGTAGTCAGGCACTGTATAAGCTGCTTCTTGTTTGTCACTGCTTGCTCTAAATCTTCATTATTCCTCGTTGGAAGCTACTTTTGACAGAATATAAGAAGTGCTTCTTTTGTCAGACATCAAACTTTCTGAGTGTGTGATTTGTCCTTTACAAAAAACTCAACAGATATACTTGTGGCCTACCTGTATGACTGGTTTGTTTTGAGCATGGTGCAATCACATTGGGATCATAGAAACATAGTTTGTATGCCTGCCAGTCAAGTAAAGAGTCTTTGGAAAGTGTTTGACATTAAAAAATAGTATAACGTAAGGGGGCAGGGGGTGAGAACAAGCGTTTATTAAGCACCTGCTATGTGCCAGGCACTGTTCAAAACACTTTACAAATATTATTTCATTTGGTCCTCACAACTTCGTGGGTGGTAGGTGCTATTATTATCCCCATTTTACAGTTGAGGAGGCTGAGCCAGGCAGCAGCTAAATGATTTGCACAGGGTCATACAGCTAGTAAATGTCTGAGTCCACCTTTGAACTCAAGCCTTCCTGACTCCAGGCCTATCCACTGTACCACTTAGCTGCCTCACTAGGCAAATTATAAAACCATCAAGTATATATAATTTGCTCTTCATTGGCTTATCTTTTTTCTGAGGTGGACTTTGGGCATAAGCCAAACATGTGCCTGGTCTTCATGGAAATGTAGTGTTTAGAGAGTAAAGAATAAAACTTGTTAAGTGTCCCTGCTCTGCAAGTTTGGCCTCTAAGGTGTTTGGAACAGTGATAGTTAAATGTCAGCTCCAAAGAGTTGGCTTTTAAATTTAGCTTTCTAAGTCACTTGCATTTATATTTACATAGTATTATATTTTTATTTTGTTTGTCTTTATTCATTCAATATTATATATGTCCATGTTATCTCTCCTGAAAGTAGATATCATTTCATTCTTTGTATTCTTATCCCTATTGTCCTGCACAGTGCCAGGAACATAGCATATGCTTAATAAATGCTTGTTGATGATGGATTTATAAAATTGTTTCATGTACAAAATGCCTTTCTTCACAATAACCTTGTAAGGGAGGTCATAAAATTAGTATTATACCTACTTTATGGATGAGGAAACTGAAAGTGAGAGCTTGTGGCATGTCTACTCATACATAGAGCAACAGAGCTGAAATGTAAACTCAGTTCTTTTGATTATATGAATAGTTTTTTTTCTGCTGCATCATGATGTATAAAATGCCTGATTATGTGAAGGTGGAATGGACATTCATTGTTTAAGACTAGTACTAAAATCTTAAAATTTCTGACAATTTGTCTAGTATCCAAACAGGTATTGAGACCCATGGGTCCATTGTATTAGGATTCCTTAGAGTAAATGTAAGGAAGATTCCCTTTGTTGTTGTTATTTGACAAACCCATACTTCTTCATGTGTATATAACAGTAGGCAAGTGGATTATTTTTCTATGAGGAAGGTTCTTTTAAATTGACCTTGTGTTCAAGAAAAAGGTGAACACCAGGAACTAAAAGCACTTTTAAAAATGTCTCCTCTCAGAAGACTTTCAGGAGGTACATTCTTCTTTAGTCAAATGAGAGGGTTGGAGTAGATGACTTGTAAGGTCCATTTTGGGCAGGTAGGTTGTGTAGTGAATAATTCACCAGGCCTGGAGTCAGGAAGACTTATCTTCCTGAGTTCAAATCAGGCCTCAGACACTTCTTAGCTGTGTGATGCTGGCAAGTTAGTTAACCCTGTTTGCCTTAGTTTCTTCATCTGTAAAATGAGATGCAGAAGGAAATGGAAAACTATTCAGGTATCTTTACCAAGAAAACCCCTGTGGAGTCATGAAGAGTTGGACATGACTCAAACAACTGAACAACAACAAGGTCTCTTCCGTCTCTCAGTCCTATAATCCTTACGTGAATCCCTTCCTGCTCCACCTGCTAGTACCCTCCCTCCCTAACTAATTCGTATTTAACTGCTGGAGCAGCTACACAAATTATAGTACATAAATGTAATGAAATGTTACTATGCCATAAGAAATGATGGATATGATGGAGGACAAAGCATAAAATAACTTAAATGAACCGATTCAAAGTGAAGGAAATAGAACCAGGAAAGCAACATATAGAATGACTATACTAGTATAGATAAGAACAATAACTTCAATCCCCAAACAATTTGAACTAAATGTTATAAAATTATAAAGACCAAGGTTGTCCCCACTGAAGATATGAAAAGATACTTCCTCCTACTCCTTTGTATCTTTGTCTACATTGAAGCTAATGGGAGATAAGGATAGTAAGGATAGGGGAAAAGCCACAGAAATTCTGAACGTAGTTGTTTAAACTGTTAGTAATGACATTTTCCCCAGGTACTTCTGCTCAAGAAGCAAAATGGGTTGAGTTGAGCTTTTTCCTTCTTAACCTATGTGGATGAGCTAATGAGCCATGAAATGGTTCAAAAGTATAGGGAAGTTGAAGGAAAAGAAGAGCAAAAGTTCTGGATAATTGACAAACTAGCCAATCAGGTTTTAAAAATCAAGAAATCATTGAAGGGATTGGCATTTCAAATGTGTAACATTGGTTTTTATTTCACTTTCTTAACAGGCTATGCCTGCAGACTGGTGTCACAAAACATGTCTCTCATTCTGGTGAATGAACATTCTTTGGATGTAAGTAAATTTTCCTCATAGGTACATTTAATTGAATATGTCAGATTTTCTTAAACTTTGGGGTTTATCTCCATCTTAACTTCTCATGATGACTCAAATGGGTGGGTGGGGGAAATAAAGATTAAACAATATTTCTCTATTTATTCATACTAACTTAGATTTATGGTAATGACATCTTACAGTCACAGACCTTGAAGATCAAAATAAACCTAAGGGTTGGCTCTTCTTGATGAGGCTTTGTTATTATTTAAATAGTTAGAGAAATGTAGCATTAAGTCTAGTAGTTTGAATATGTGATTTTACTTGAAAAAATAAAGAAAAGATTAAAGTACCATGCTTGTAAGAAGTTTCTGATACTGAAGCGTTGTTTATTTTGTTTTTGTTGCTAAGTTCCTGAGTCCTATCCATTCCTTTTTATTGGAACTTTTAATATACCACATGGATCTTCCTTCTAAATAGCATTGTCTAGCACTCCTTAACAGTGGTGATTAAAGTTTAAGTGGTAGGGAGTAAATATTCATCTAATTCTAAGGTAGCTAACCCCTACTATTTTGCAAATAATTTAATAAAAATAGCACCTTAATGCAAACACCTTATGCATTTAAGGAATGCTTTGCAGCTTATAAAGTATTTTCACATGTAGTATATGACTCATTTCTCATGGTAACCCTATGGAGATTAGGGCAAAAATTTTCCCCCTTTTACAGATAAGGAAACTGAGGCTTAGAAATGTCCTTTTGCCTGCTGTCTCAGCAGAATTGCCTCGGTTTGACTATACCTTACTGCCTCTTGAACAGGATTTTTATATATACTAAAGATTCCTTGGAGATGGGGAGAGCTATCTATAATCTTCACATCAGAACACACAAGGTGTTATATATAATTCCACATCACTTCCCTGTTCTGTTGATCCAATATACTATTTTTGACAGAAGTCCTGAGGCATCTTTTGCTGGAAACAGACTTTAAAGGTTAAAGGTACATTGTCTTGCTTCCCATAACAACTAGTTATGGATCTCAGATTTCACAAATTTAACTAGCTTTTTATGAACCCAACATTAAAATCAAATGTTAATACAAGTTCATACACACTTTCTGTCTTCTTGACTTTTTAGAAAATTATTTTATATCATCCTCCTTCATCATTGCCTGGCAGTGCTAGACAGGTGCAAATTAATAGTGAGTTCAAACTTGAAGTTTTGCGTGTTATTGTATATTTAAACAGTGGGGAGCTAAAAAAAAAATCTTTTCCCCTACTCATCTTCCTGGGCTCTAAAGGCAATTTGAAAGTGCTAACAATAATTTTGCTGTAAGCTTGTTAATTAATTTTCATTGGGATACCAATAAAAATTGTTTTGGGGGAGGGGCAAGGGAACCACCCAGCCAGGAGCTTTTTTGAACCCCACAAACCTTGGAGTCCCAAGAAGAAGGCCATCTTTACTGTCTAAACAATGGATGACAGAGGTTGTTAAAAAAAAATAGCCATAAGTAAAAAAGAGTAAGACTTCTTGACTACTTAATTTGTAACTCCAGGCAATGGTTTTTTTTTTTTTTTAAATAGAGGTCCAAGTGTCAAAAATAAGTTTGATATCCACCTTTATTGTAGTAAATGCTTTTGCTTAAGTAAAGTGGGCATGTCTTAACAGTTGGCTCAACATGTTAAGCTTAATACTATGACTACAATACTATGGTTGTTCATGCTGTAGACCTGCCATCATTTCCCTGTACAAATACATGATCACATGACACAATCTATATACTGGTCAAGTTTTCTGACTTGTTATTAAGGATTGGTATAAAAGCAGCTGGTGGCTAGTTAGGGAGTCTAAATAGGATAGCTCTGGGATGATTGTAGAATTCAGCTATGTACAGTGAGGCGGAGAGAAAAAAGTCCACAGCATCAGTTGTCTTTGTCCAGCCTAGGAATGAATAGAAGCCTTATAAGTGTTAAAAAACAGAGTGAAACTGGGAGCACCATACCCCGTCAGCCAGTGCCAGAGCTTCTTGGTTTCCTTACTGAAGAAAGTTGGTGATTACATGGTATGTCCCCAATCTCTGTCATGAGAAATGAGGACTGTCATCAGTGATGGTGATGCTTGAGCTCAGATAACAGGTTTTGGGGCTGTAACAAGGTAGCCCTTATTATTGTAGAGGCAGTAGATAGGTGTATTACCGTTACATCAGAGGCTTATGTCTGTCAGATGGCTTCACTGATGAAGTTCGTTCTACTCTAGGGTTTCCAAGCACTGTTGTCTCTGGGTAAGGACTGAAGATAATATATCTTCCTGTAGGCCTGAGTGTGTTTTATTTGGAAGGACTTCCAAGCAGTATCTCATGTGCAGCCTTTGATACAGCTTACTTGGTTCACATGACAGTTATCAGTATGTGTGCTTTTAAAGTAAATTTGATTATTTTTTTCCTTTCTTGCAGTATGAAAACCTGACCAAGGAGTTTTAGTTAGTTATTTTTTACACTCAGCAGAAAGCAGACATGAGGTCCTTTCCAGCTCAAAATCTATGATCCTGTGATTGTTATGTTTTCTCATGAAGTGGTTGGATGATGGCAACTGTTAGATGAAGTGATATTTTCTTAGCCTTCATTTCCTTAAATGAATTTGTTTCATGATTTACCTTGCGTAAAACCCTGTGAGTTGAAATTAACTTCATGTATTTCATGCATGAAATCATAGTAGCAACAAATGAATTTTCCAGCAGTTGTGGCCAAGCTCTCAGAAGTGGATATAGTTCCCCCTCATGGGGAGCTTTTCTGTTTTTCTTCTTGGCATGCAACAGGTGATACAAAATCAGTGTCACTACTCTGGTTAACATTCCTACTCCACTGAGGTAAGAGAAGCGTCTTCCAGTTATTTTTCACTTAAATCTATAATAGCTTTTTGAAGATAATACCATCCTGATTCAACTCTACACTCACCATAGTCTTGTGCTGATGTGACTTATGCCTTGAGCCTTTTGTACTCTACAGTCTTATAAAACCTCTTTGATAGAAACGCTGAAGGCATTCAAATCTCAGCTGCCTTGACAATCAAATTCCTCTTTCAAAAATTAAGTTATAAATCTTCTGTAGTATAGTCTTGTGTTACTCTTACCATATCTTTTATGATATTTCATTCAATCATTTGGAGTAAAAGAAAAAAGATGATATATCCAGACTTGGTCTTGGAAACCTTAGAGACCAAAACCAACCAACCAACCCTGAATCATCATTTAATATAGAACATTTTGGAAATTGAAAGGAATTGATGAGATGAATATCACATGCACCTGGGCTAGGGAATAGCCAATAGTTTTCCTAAGTTGTATTAGTCAGCCCTGGATTGAAATATTGCATCATTAATGCCATCATTTGGATTCAGATACACCGTTTCGAAGGAAGGCTCAGAAGTGCTAAGGGAAAGGGAGTGAAAGAATTAAATATCTAAATGTCAGGGTTTTAAAAAAAAATGTTCTTAGCCTCTACTTTCAAAAATAGATGGCCAGAAGAGAGATGTTTTTCTAGAAGCTGAGGAAGATTAGTTCTGAACTACACTTTGAAGTAGGAAAGATTTTATGGAGTTCTTGCATTACCCCTCCTGCTTTAATTGATTTGAAATATGTCTCTAGAAGGCTGCCTATCATTCTTATGATGATAAATGCCATTACCAATGACAGTTGGGAGTGGAGGTGCATAGAGGTTAAGTCTTGGTGTGCAGAAAGTATCTTTTAAATAGCATTACATCAAACAGTTTGCCTGTTTTCACATGGACTGAAACCCAAGTAAGTATTAAATGAATATTGTAGTAACCCAGTATGAACACCAAGCAACAAAAAATGCAACAAAATGGATATTTTATTAGGGCAGTATTTCCCCTTTTGACTTGCAAGGGCAACACTTTGTTTTCCCAAATAGATACTTTGTTGTGATGACTTCAGTTTGATTCCCAGTCTTCTAGATGTAAAGAAAAATGTAGTGTTTCTTTAATTTGATGAATTCTTGAGCTGTTCCCAAATTTTTTAAGTCAGTGATGGGTGAAAATAGATCAAGTGTGTTAGTGGGTAATGTTGACACTACCCAAGTGTATTTTATACACCAAAAATGAACAAAAAAATCAACCACTGTGTGACATGTATAAAAGTTTTTTAAGTTCTTATGTGATCCTAAATCCATTTTCTACCTCCTTTCCTAATGTCATTATGAAATGTAAAGCTCTTTGGGGAAAAGTTTAGCAAATAATAATAATAATATTAAGTAAAAAATAATAGCTAGTATTTATATGGCACTTTAAGTTTGGCAAAGCACTGCAGACAAATGTTATCTCATTTGATCCTCACAACAACCCTGGGAGGTAGGTACTATTATTATCCCCATTTTATAGATGAACACACTGAGAAAGTCAGAAGTTAAATAACTTGCCCAGGGTCCCAGATTTGAATATAGGTCTTCCTTACTGCAAATCCAACTTTCCATCCATTGTACCACCTAGCTGTCTCTGAGGAGTTTGCACACATATTCAAACCATTTTAGGATTTCACATATTTTCCCAACAATGTGAAAACCCTTGCTGACATAGATCTGCACATTTAAAAAAGCTTTTCTCAATCCTTTCAGTAACCTGTAGGTCTCACTTGGTAGGATCTATCATTGTAGCTTTGGGAAAAGACTTTTTAAAAACTTCTAAACCTACACTCCCATTAAAAAGAGCATTCCCATAAACGTAGTAGAACACAAAAAGAGGATTCTATGTAAAACTGTAAATCTGGGATCTTGCATTAGCAATAACAGATTTTTTATTGTTAGCTATGCTTTTCTTCAGTATTCTCTGGGCAGGAATGCCCTGTTGTAGGTCTATTCTGCCACAAAATTTGTGCCTTGAGAGCCTGATTCTTTCTTAGGACGGGGGCTATTTGTATATTTAGAAACAATGGATGGAAGAGTCTTGAAAACTTTGTACTTGGAAATTCTTAGAAATTGCACCCTCAGGATTTCCCTTGTGAACCAGATTT